CTGTCACTGAAAGTCAATTTATAGATATTGATTTAAAATCTTGTTTTGATTACCTGATATCCTTGCTGAAAACCTGAAGTGTGACATCTTGGCAGGCAAAGTGGAAGGAAGGTTCACTTACAATTTAATCTCAACAGTGAGTGAAAGGAGATGTATCAGCAACAAGTATCTCAATCAAGCCTTAACTCAACATGAACATTTTCCATCTTACTATAAAAGGTTCTCGATTAAAAACTGTACCTGTTCTTGTGACGAAGGTACAGGTAATTTTGAGCAGTCATACATAAATATACACATACATGCAGAAACTTCATCATTTAATTTCTTTAAAAATAATTTCAGCGCGTTAAATTTGGTCGCAAGAATTTGAAAACGGATACAGTTGTTTATAATGAAGGATGAAAAATCCCGTTAAGAGACTAATAGCCCATTCTAGCTAAGACTCATTTGGGGTAAAAATCACGTTTCCAAATATATATATTTAAATTATAAATGTTCATTTTTATTAATTATATATTTTTATTAATTATCTATTATGTATACGAATCCATTATATGAAAGATTCATAATAAGACAATGTCTCCTGCATACTAGCCAAAAACATGAATTTGACTGTCTACTGGCTTGACTACTACACTGGCTAACATTCATAAATAATCTATGCAATTTATTATGCGTTAGTCAAATTTTCGGAGGAATTACAAAATAAAATGTATTTAAAAAAGAATTAAACGCCTGAAAATTAAGCTTCTTTTTAAATGTTAAAAGTTTCCAGTCTCTGTAAGAATACCCTTTTAGGATAATTAACATTTGTTTATTATTTTATGTCCATATTCATTTAATAATCCATCACGTATATAATGCAATACACATATAGAATAACTGGGATCCACATATATTTTCAAAAATAAGTACATAATAATACGGTATGAAGGAATTTTCTGCTGCGAACGTTCTTGATCATCATCTATCTATCAGAAATGACAAAAAGAACAGAGTAATAAAGATTTAAGCATATACATAAAAACAAACACAAAACTTTGACATATGCAAGATATATATTTATTTTTGAATAAATGTTACAGATTGAGATAACAAATTCAAAAATTTAACACGCTACATTTCAAGCTAATGCATAAAATGAGCGAGAAACAAGATCTGACGCAGAACTTATAGAGCTCAAATCAACCTGACCAATATCTGCGGAATTTAAAATGTGCACAAGGGCGGATAGCACTTCCAAAAGAACTTGAACAAGGACTTCACATCCGGAAAGATCTGCCGATGTGGACCGAACTTGAGAAGCCAAACCAGAAATTACTGTAGACAAGGAATTAGCATTAAAGGCACCACCAGAAGCCAGGGCAGAAGCTGCTGCAGAAACTCTAGACGAAGAAGAAGACGACGACAATCGCGAAATAGAGGAATACACAGTTGAACTATCAACAGAGCTACTAGCAGACGAAGATGCAGCACTAGCTGCACCAACTCCGTATCCCCCTCTGCTTCCATAACCTCCTCGTCCAGCAGCAGCGGCGGCAGCAGCAGCAGCGGCAGCTCCGTTATCTTGTCCATATCCTCCTGAACCGTCTCCTGCTCCAGCAGCAGCAGCAGCAGCACTAGCAGCACCAGATCCGGCTCCACCTCGGCCTCCGTAACCTCCTCGTCCAGCAGCAGCGGCGGCAGCAGCAGCAGCGGCAGCGGCAGCTCCGTTATCTTGTCCATATCCTCCTGAACCGTCTCCAGCTCCTGCCCCAGCAGCAGCAGCAGCAGCACTAGCAGCACCAGATCCGGCTCCACCGCGGCCTCCGTATCCTCCTCGTCCAGCAGCAGCGGCGGCAGCAGCAGCAGCAGCGGCAGCACCTGAGTCTCCACCATATCCTCCTGAACCAGCACCTGCTCCAGCAGCAGCGGCAGCGCCAGCAGCACCAGCTCCGTATCCACCTCTGCCTCCATAACCTCCCCGTCCAGCAGCAGCGGCGGCAGCAGCAGCAGCAGCGGCAGCAGCAGCTCCGGCATTTTGTCCATATCCTCCTGAACCGTCTCCAGCTCCTGCTGCTGCAGCAGCAGCACTAGCAGCACCAGATCCGGCTCCACCACGGCCTCCGTAACCTCCTCGTCCAGCAGCGGCGGCAGCAGCAGCAGCAGCAGCGGCAGCGGCAGCTCCGTTATCTTGTCCAAATCCTCCTGAACCGTCTCCAGCTCCTGCTCCAGCAGCAGCAGCAGCAGCACTAGCAGCACCAGATCCGGATCCACCTCGGCCTCCATAACCTCCCCGTCCAGCAGCAGCGGCGGCAGCAGCAGCAGCAGCGGCAGCAGCAGATCCGGCATTTTGTCCATATCCTCCTGAACCGTCTCCAGCTCCTGCTGCTGCAGCAGCAGCACTAGCAGCACCAGATCCGGCTCCACCGCGGCCTCCGTATCCTCCTCGTCCAGCAGCAGCGGCGGCAGCAGCAGCAGCAGCGGCAGCACCTGAGTCTCCACCATATCCTCCTGAACCAGCACCTGCTCCAGCAGCAGCGGCAGCGCCAGCAGCACCAGCTCCGTATCCACCTCTGCCTCCATAACCTCCCCGTCCAGCAGCAGCGGCGGCAGCAGCAGCTCCGGCATTTTGTCCATATCCTCCTGAACCGTCTCCAGCTCCTGCTCCAGCTGCAGCAGCAGCACTAGCAGCACCAGATCCGGCTCCACCGCGGCCTCCGTAACCTCCTCGTCCAGCAGCGGCGGCAGCAGCAGCAGCAGCAGCGGCAGCGGCAGCTCCGTTATCTTGTCCAAATCCTCCTGAACCGTCTCCAGCTCCTGCTCCAGCAGCTGCAGCAGCAGCACTAGCAGCACCAGATCCGGATCCACCTCGGCCTCCATAACCTCCCCGTCCAGCAGCAGCGGCGGCAGCAGCAGCAGCAGCGGCAGCAGCAGCTCCGGCATTTTGTCCATATCCTCCTGAACCGTCTCCAGCTCCTGCTGCTGCAGCAGCAGCACTAGCAGCACCAGATCCGGCTCCACCGCGGCCTCCGTAACCTCCTCGTCCAGCAGCGGCGGCAGCAGCAGCAGCAGCAGCGGCAGCGGCAGCTCCGTTATCTTGTCCATATCCTCCTGAACCGTCTCCAGCTCCTGCTCCAGCAGCAGCAGCAGCAGCACTAGCAGCACCAGATCCGGATCCACCTCGGCCTCCATAACCTCCTCGTCCAGCAGCAGCGGCGGCAGCAGCAGCAGCAGCGGCAGCAGCAGCTCCGGAATTTTGTCCATATCCTCCTGAACCGTCTCCAACTCCTGCTCCAGCAGCAGCAGCAGCACTAGCAGCACCAGATCCGGCTCCACCGCGGCCTCCGTAACCTCCTCGTCCAGCAGCAGCGGCGGCAGCAGCAGCAGCAGCGGCAGCGGCAGCTCTGTTATCTTGTCCATATCCTCCTGAACCGTCTCCAGCTCCTGCACCAGCAGCAGCAGCACTAGCAGCACCAGATCCGGCTCCACCGCGGCCTCCGTAACCTCCTTGTCCAGCAGCAGCGGCGGCAGCAGCAGCAGCAGCGGCAGCATCTGAGTCTCCACCATATCCTCCTGAACCAGCACCTGCTCCAGCAGCAGCGGCAGCGCCAGCAGCACCAGCTCCGTATCCACCTCTGCCTCCATAACCTCCCCGTCCAGCAGCAGCGGCGGCAGCAGCAGCAGCAGCTGCAGCGGCAGCTCCGGCATTTTGTCCATATCCTCCTGAACCGTCTCCAGCTCCTGCTCCAGCAGCAGCAGCAGCAGCAGCTGCACTAGCAGCACCAGATCCGGCTCCACCGCGGCCTCCGTAACCTCCTCGTCCAGCAGCAGCGGCGGCAGCAGCAGCAGCAGCGGCAGCGGCAGCTCCGTTATCTTGTCCATATCCTCCTGAACCGTCTCCAGCTCCTGCTCCAGCAGCAGCAGCAGCAGCACTAGCAGCACCAGATCCGGCTCCACCGCGGCCTCCGTATCCTCCTCGTCCAGCAGCAGCGGCGGCAGCAGCTGCAGCAGCGGCTGCGGCAGCATCTGAGTCTCCACCATATCCTCCTGAACCAGCACCTGCTCCAGCAGCAGCGGCAGCGCCAGCAGCACCAGCTCCGTATCCACCTCTGCCTCCATAACCTCCCCGTCCAGCACCAGCGGCGGCAGCAGCAGCAGCAGCGGCAGCAGCAGCTCCGGCATTTTGTCCATATCTTCCTGAAACGTCTCCAGCTCCTGCTCCAGCAGCAGCAGCAGCACTAGCTGCACCAGATCCGTCTCCACCGCGGCCTCCGTAACCTCCTCGTCCAGCAGCAGCGGCAGCAGCAGCAGCAGCAGCGGCAGCGGCAGCTCCGTTATCTTGTCCATATCCTCCTGAACCGTCTCCAGCTCCTGCTCCAGCAGCAGCAGCAGCAGCACTAGCAGCACCAGATCCGGCTCCACCGCGGCCTCCGTATCCTCCTCGTTCAGCAGCAGCGGCGGCAGCAGCAGCAGCAGCGGCAGCGGCAGCATCTGATTCTCCACCATATCCTCCTGAAACCAGCACCTGCTCCAGCAGCAGCGGCAGCGCCAGCAGCACCAGCTCCGTATCCACCTCTGCCTCCATAACCTCCCCGTCCAGCAGCAGCGGCGGCAGCAGCAGCAGCAGCGGCAGCAGCAGCTCCGGCATTTTGTCCATATCCTCCTGAACCGTCTCCAGCTCCTGCTGCAGCAGCAGCACTAGCAGCACCAGATCCGGCTCCACCGCGGCCTCCGTAACCTCCTCGTCCAGCAGCAGCGGCGGCAGCAGCAGCAGCAGCGGCAGCGGCAGCATCTGAGTCTCCACCATATCCTCCTGAACCAGCACCTGCTCCAGCAGCAGCAGCAGCGCCAGCAGCACCAGCTCCGTATCCACCTCTGCCTCCATAACCTCCCCGTCCAGCAGCAGCGGCGGCAGCGGCAGCAGCAGCAGCAGCTCCGGCATTTTGTCCATATCCTTTGAACCGTCTCCAGCTCCTGCTCCAGCAGCAGCAGCAGCAGCTGCACTAGCAGCACCAGATCCGGCTCCACCGCGGCCTCCGTAACCTCCTCGTCCAGCAGCAGCGGCGGCAGCAGCAGCAGCAGCAGCGGCAGCTCCGTTATCTTGTCCATATCCTCCTGAACCGTCTCCAGCTCCTGCTCCAGCAGCAGCAGCAGCAGCACTAGCAGCACCAGATCCGGCTCCACCGCGGCCTCCGTATCCTCCTCGTCCAGCAGCAGCGGCGGCAGCAGCAGCAGCAGCGGCAGCGGCAGCATCTGAGTCTCCACCATATCCTCCTGAACCAGCACCTGCTCCAGCAGCAGCGGCAGCGCCAGCAGCACCAGCTCCGTATCCACCTCTGCCTCCATAACCTCCCCGTCCAGCAGCAGCGGCGGCAGCAGCAGCAGCAGCAGCAGCAGCTCCGGCATTTTGTCCATATCCTCCTGAAACATCTCCAGCTCCTGCTCCAGCAGCAGCAGCAGCACTAGCAGCACCAGATCCGGCTCCACCGCGGCCTCCGTATCCTCCTCGTCCAGCAGCAGCGGCGGCAGCAGCAGCAGCAGCGGCAGCGGCAGCATCTGATTCTCCACCATATCCTCCTGAACCAGCACCTGCTCCAGCAGCAGCGGCAGCGCCAGCAGCACCAGCTCCGTATCCACCTCTGCCTCCATAACCTCCCCGTCCAGCAGCTGCGGCGGCAGCAGCAGCAGCAGCGGCAGCAGCAGCTCCGGCATTTTGTCCATATCCTCCTGAACCGTCTCCAGCTCCCGCTGCTGCAGCAGCAGCACTAGCAGCACCAGATCCGGCTCCACCACGGCCTCCGTAACCTCCTCGTCCAGCAGCAGCGGCGGCAGCAGCAGCAGCAGCGGCAGCGGCAGCATCTGAGTCTCCACCATATCCTCCTGAACCAGCACCTGCTCCAGCAGCAGCGGCAGCGCCAGCAGCACCAGCTCCGTATCCACCTCTGCCTCCATAACCTCCCCGTCCAGCAGCAGCGGCGGCAGCGCAGCAGCAGCAGCAGCAGCTCCGGCATTTTGTCCATATCCTCCTGAACCGTCTCCAGCTCCTGCTCCAGCAGCAGCAGCAGCAGCTGCACTAGCAGCACCAGATCCGGCTCCACCGCGGCCTCCGTAACCTCCTCGTCCAGCAGCAGCGGCGGCAGCAGCAGCAGCAGCGGCAGCGGCAGCTCCGTTATCTTGTCCATATCCTCCTGAACCGTCTCCAGCTCCTGCTCCAGCAGCAGCAGCAGCACTAGCAGCACCAGATCCGGCTCCACCGCGGCCTCCGTATCCTCCTCGTCCAGCAGCAGCGGCGGCAGCAGCAGCAGCAGCGGCAGCGGCAGCATCTGAGTCTCCACCATATCCTCCTGAACCAGCACCTGCTCCAGCAGCAGCGGCAGCGCCAGCAGCACCAGCTCCGTATCCACCTCTGCCTCCATAACCTCCCCGTCCAGCAGCAGCGGCGGCAGCAGCAGCAGCAGCGGCAGCAGCAGCTCCGGCATTTTGTCCATATCCTCCTGAACCGTCTCCAGCTCCTGCTCCAGCAGCAGCAGCAGCACTAGCAGCACCAGATCCGTCTCCACCGCGGCCTCCGTAACCTCCTCGTCCAGCAGCAGCGGCGGCAGCAGCAGCAGCAGCAGCGGCAGCGGCAGCTCCGTTATCTTGTCCATATCCTCCTGAACCGTCTCCAGCTCCTGCTCCAGCAAGCAGCAGCACTAGCAGCACCAGATCCGGCTCCACCGCGGCCTCCGTAATCCTCCTCGTCCAGCAGCAGCGGCGGCAGCAGCAGCAGCAGCGGCAGCATCTGATTCTCCACCATATCCTCCTGAACCAGCACCTGCTCCAGCAGCAGCGGCAGCGCCAGCAGCACCAGCTCCGTATCCACCTCTGCCTCCATAACCTCCCCGTCCAGCAGCAGCGGCAGCGCAGCAGCGAAGCAGCAGCTCCGGCATTTTGTCCATATCCTCCTGAACCGTCTCCAGCTCCTGCCAGCAGCAGCAGCAGCAGCTGCAGCAGCACCAGATCCAGCTCCACCGCGGCCTCCGTAACCTCCTCGTCCAGCAGCAGCGGCGCAGCAGCAGCAGCAGCGCAGCAGCAGCGGCGGCAGCTCCGTTATCTTGTCCATATCCTCCTGAACCGTCTCCAGCTCCTGCTCCAGCAGCAGCACTAGCAGCACCAGATCCTCTTCACCGCGGCCTCCGTATCCTCTCGTCAGCAGCAGCGGCGGCAGCAGCAGCAGCAGCAGCGGCAGCGGCAGCATCTGAGTCTCCACCATATCCTCCTGAACCAGCACCTGCTCCAGCAGCAGCGGCAGCGCCAGCAGCACCAGCTCCGTATCCACCTCTGCCTCCATAACCTCCCCGTCCAGCAGCAGCGGCGGCAGCAGCAGCAGCAGCGGCAGCAGCAGCTCCGGCATTTTGTCCATATCTCCTGAACCGTCTCCAGCTCCTGCTCGCAGCAGCAGCAGCACTAGCAGCACCAGATCCGTCTCCACCGCGGCCTCCGTAACCTCCTCGTCCAGCAGCAGCAGCAGCAGCAGCGGCAGCGGCAGCTCCGTTATCTTGTCCATATCCTCCTGAACCGTCTCCAGCTCCTGCTCCAGCAGCAGCAGCAGCAGCACTAGCAGCACCAGATCCGGCTCCACCGCGGCCTCCGTATCCTCCTCGTCCAGCAGCAGCGGCGGCAGCAGCAGCAGCAGCGGCAGCGGCAGCATCTGATTCTCCACCATATCCTCCTGAACCAGCACCTGCTCCAGCAGCAGCGGCAGCGCCAGCAGCACCAGCTCCGTATCCACCTCTGCCTCCATAACCTCCCCGTCCAGCAGCTGCGGCGGCAGCAGCAGCAGCAGCGGCAGCAGCAGCTCCGGCATTTTGTCCATATCCTCCTGAACCGTCTCCAGCTCCCGTTGCTGCAGCAGCAGCACTAGCAGCACCAGATCCGGCTCCACCCCGGCCTCCGTAACCTCCTCGTCCAGCAGCAGCGGCGGCAGCAGCAGCAGCAGCGGCAGCGGCAGCATCTGAGTCTCCACCATATCCTCCTGAACCAGCACCTGCTCCAGCAGCAGCGGCAGCGCCAGCAGCACCAGCTCCGTATCCACCTCTGCCTCCATAACCTCCCCGTCCAGCAGCAGCGGCGGCAGCAGCAGCAGCAGCAGCAGCTCCGGCATTTTGTCCATATCCTCCTGAACCGTCTCCAGCTCCTGCTCCAGCAGCAGCAGCAGCAGCTGCACTAGCAGCACCAGATCCGGCTCCACCGCGGCCTCCGTAACCTCCTCGTCCAGCAGCAGCGGCGGCAGCAGCAGCAGCAGCAGCGGCAGCGGCAGCTCCGTTATCTTGCCATATCCTCCTGAAGTCTCCAGCTCCTGCTCCAAGCAGCAGCATAGCAGCAACACCAGATCCGGCTCCACCGCGGCCTCCGTATCCTCCTCGTCCAGCAGCAGCGGCGGCAGCAGCAGCAGCAGCGGCTGCGGCAGCATCTGAGTCTCCACCATATCCTCCTGAACCAGCACCTGCTCCAGCAGCAGCGGCAGCGCCAGCAGCACCAGCTCCGTATCCACCTCTGCCTCCATAACCTCCCCGTCCAGCAGCTGCGGCGGCAGCAGCAGCAGCAGCGGCAGCAGCAGCTCCGGCATTTTGTCCATATCCTCCTGAACCGTCTCCAGCTCCTGCTCCCAGCAGCAGCACTAGCAGCACCAGCTCCGTATCCACCTCTGCCTCCATAACCTCCTCGTCCAGCAGCTGCGGCGGCAGCAGCAGCAGCAGCGGCAGCGGCAGCTCCGTTCTCTTGTCCATATCCTCCTGAACCGTCTCCAGCTCCTGCTCCAGCAGCAGCAGCAGCAGCACTAGCAGCACCAGATCCGGCTCCACCGCGGCCTCCGTATCCTCCCGTCCAGCAGCAGCAGCGGCGGCAGCAGCAGCAGCAGCGGCAGCGGCAGCATCTGAGTCTCCACCATATCCTCCTGAACCAGCACCTGCTCCAGCAGCAGCGGCAGCGCCAGCAGCACCAGCTCCGTATCCACCTCTGCCTCCATAACCTCCCCGTCCAGCAGCTGCGGCGCAGCAGCAGCAGCAGCAGCTCCGGCATTTTGTCCATATCCTCCTGAACCGTCTCCAGCTCCTGCTCCAGCAGCAGCAGCAGCAGCACTAGCAGCACCAGCTCCGTATCCACCTCTGCCTCCATAACCTCCTCGTCCAGCAGCTGCGGCGGCAGCAGCAGCAGCAGCGGCAGCGGCAGCTCCGTTCTCTTGTCCATATCCTCCTGAACCGTCTCCAGCTCCTGCTCCAGCAGCAGCAGCAGCAGCACTAGCAGCACCAGATCCGGCTCCACCGCGGCCTCCGTATCCTCCTCGTCCAGCAGCAGCGGCGGCAGCAGCAGCAGCAGCGGCAGCATCTGAGTCTCCACCATATCCTCCTGAACCAGCACCTGCTCCAGCAGCAGCGGCAGCGCCAGCAGCACCAGCTCCGTATCCACCTCTGCCTCCATAACCTCCCCGTCCAGCAGCAGCGCGCGGCAGCAGCAGCAGCAGCGGCAGCAGCAGCTCCGTCATTTTGTCCATATCCTCCTGAACCGTCTCCAGCTCCTGCTCCAGCAGCAGCACTAGCAGCACCAGATCCGGCTCCACCGCGGCCTCCGTAACCTCCTCGTCCAGCAGCTGCGGCGGCAGCAGCAGCAGCAGCGGCAGCGGCAGCTCCGTTATCTTGTCCATATCCTCCTGAACCGTCTCCAGCTCCTGCTCCAGCAGCAGCAGCAGCAGCACTAGCAGCACCAGATCCGGCTCCACCGCGGCCTCCGTATCCTCCTCGTCCAGCAGCAGCGGCGGCAGCAGCAGCAGCAGCTGCGGCAGCATCTGAGTCTCCACCATATCCTCCTGAACCAGCACCTGCTCCAGCAGCAGCGGCAGCGCCAGCAGCACCAGCTCCGTATCCACCTCTGCCTCCATAACCTCCCCGTCCAGCAGCTGCGGCGGCAGCGGCAGCAGCAGCAGCGGCAGCAGCAGCTCCGGCATTTGTCCATATCCTCCTGAACCGTCTCAGCTCCAGCTCCAGCTGCTGCAGCAGCAGCACTAGCAGCACCAGATCCGGCTCCACCGCGGCCTCCGTAACCTCCTCGTCCAGCAGCAGCGGCGGCGGCAGCAGCAGCGGCAGCGGCAGCATCTGAGTCTCCACCATATCCTCCTGAACCAGCACCTGCTCCAGCAGCAGCGGCAGCGCCAGCAGCACCAGCTCCGTATCCACCTCTGCCTCCATAACCTCCCGTCCAGCAGCAGCGGCGCAGCAGCAGCAGCAGCGGCAGCAGCAGCTCCGGCATTTTGTCCATATCCTCCTGAACCGTCTCCAGCTCCTGCTCCAGCAGCAGCAGCAGCTGCACTAGCAGCACCAGATCCGGCTCCACCGCGGCCTCCGTAACCTCCTCGTCCAGCAGCAGCGGCGGCAGCAGCAGCAGCAGCGGCAGCGGCAGCTCCGTTATCTTGTCCATATCCTCCTGAACCGTCTCCAGCTCCTGCTCCAGCAGCAGCACTAGCAGCACCAGATCCGGCTCCACCGCGGCCTCCGTATCCTCCTCGTCCAGCAGCAGCGGCGGCAGCAGCAGCAGCAGCAGCGGCAGCGGCAGCATCTAAGTCTCCACCATATCCTCCTGAACCAGCACCTGCTCCAGCAGCAGCGGCAGCGCCAGCAGCACCAGCTCCGTATCCACCTCTGCCTCCATAACCTCCCCGTCCAGCAGCAGCGGCGGCAGCAGCAGCAGCAGCGGCAGCAGCAGCTCCGTCACTTTGTCCATATCCTCCTGAACCGTCTCCAGCTCCTGCTCCAGTAGCAGCAGCAGCAGCACTAGCAGCACCAGATCCGGCTCCACCGCGGCCTCCGTAACCTCCTCGTCCAGCAGCTGCGGCGGCAGCTGCAGCAGCATCAGCGGCGGCAGTAGCAGCAGCTCCGCTATCTTCTCCTTGTCCTCCTGAACCGTCTCCAGCTCCTGCTCCAGCAGCAGCAGGCAGAAGCGGCACCACCAGCACCCGGCTCCTCCTCTGCCTCCATAACCACCTCGTCCAGCAGCAGCGGCGGCAGCAGCAGCAGCAGCGGCTGCGGCAGCATCTGAGTCTCCACCATATCCTCCTGAAACCAGCACCTGCTCCAGCAGCAGCGGCAGCACCAGCAGCACCAGCTCCGTATCCACCTCTGCCTCCATAACCTCCCGTCCAGCAGCGGCGGCGGCCAGCAGCAGCAGCAGCGGCAGCAGCAGCTCCGGCATTTTGTCCAATATCTCCTGAACCGTCTCCAGCTCCTGCTGTGCAGCAGCAGCACTAGCAGCACCAGATCCCGCTCCACCACGAACTCCGTAACCTCCTCGTCCAGCAGCAGCGGCTGCAGCAGCCGCAGCAGCTGCAGCGGCAGCTCCGTTATCTTGTCCATATCCTCTGAACCAGTCTCCCAATCCTGCTCCTCCAGCAGCAGCAGCAGCAGCACTAGCAGCACCAGATCCGGCTCCACCGCGGCCTCCGTATCCTGCTCGTCCAGCAGCAGCGGCGGCAGCTGCAGCAGCAGCGGCAGCTCCGTTATCTTGTCCATATCCTCCTGAACCGTCTCCAGCTCCTGCTCCAGCAGCAGCAGCAGCAGCAGCACTAGCAGCACCAGATCCGGCTCCACCGCGGCCTCCGTAACTTCCTCGTCCAGCAGCAGCGGCGGCAGCAGCAGCAGCGGCGGCAGCAGCAGCTCCGGCATTTTGTCCATATCCTCCTGAACCGTCTCCAGCTCCTGCTGCTGCAGCAGCAGCACTAGCAGCACCAGATCCGGCTCCACCGCGGCCTCCGTAACCTCCTCGTCCAGCAGCAGCGGCGGCAGCAGCAGCAGCGGCAGCAGCAGCTCCGGCATTTTGTCCATATCCTCCTGAACCGTCCCCAGCTCCTGCTCCAGCAGCAGTAGCAGCAGCACTAGCAGCACCAGATCCGGCTCCACCGCGGCTCCGTAACCTCCTCGTCCCAGCAGCAGCGGCCAGGCAGCAGCAGCAGCAGCGGCAGCGGCAGCTCCGTTATCTTGTCCATATCCTCCTGAACCGTCTCCAGCTCCTGCTCCAACAGCAGCAGCACTTAGCAGCACCAGATCCGGCTCCACCGCGGCCCGTAAACTCTCGTCCTGCAGCAGCAGCGGCCGGCAGCAGCAGCAGCAGCGGGCAGCGGCAGCTACGTTATCTTCTCCATATCCTCTGAACCAGTCTCCAGCTCCTGTTCGAGCAGCAGCTGCACTAGCAGCACCAGATCCGGCTCCACCGCGGGCTCCGTAACCTCCTCGTCCAGCAGCAGCGGCGGCAGCAGCAGTAGCTGCGGCAGCGGCAGCTCCGTTATCTTGTCCATATCCGCCTGAACCGTCTCCAGCTCCTGCTCCAGCAGCAGCAGCAGCAGCACTAGCAGCACCAGATCCGGCTCCACCGCGGCCTCCGTAACCTCCTCGTCCAGCAGCAGCGGCGGCAGCAGCAGCAGCAGCGGCAGCGGCAGCTCCGTTATCTTGTCCATATCCTCCTGAACCAGCTCCAGCTCCTGCTTCAGCAGCAGCAGCACCAGGTGCGTATCCACCTCTTCCTTGATTACCTAGAGATTATTATTTTTCGTTATGTTTTAAGGATTACTTATTTTTGTGATCATTTAAAATATTCAAACTTCTTGTGATATTGTAATTGTTGAATAACGATGCCTCCCACGTTTATATTATTAGCGCCAGATTTTTGTGTAGCGTAATATATGGAAGTCTGGAATTGTATATTTAAAAAAAATTTTTGAGCGTAATGTGAGTTTAACAGAAGATCCGAAATGCCTTGTGGCGGTGTTTTTGCCGATTGAAGAATAGGCCTCATGTTTTATTTAAATTAAGTATGGTAGTTTGAAAATTGATTAAATTATGAAATTTTTATTAAATTAATTATTTATTAAATTTTTTTACGAAACGATATGTAAGCGTTGTTGTGAAATCAGGATCATTCTTCTTTAATTTATTAATGAGAAACTGCTCATTTAAGTTATCTGAGGAACGTTGGATGCTGCAGAAAGATGTTTTTGGCAGTATGTTTAGGAACAGAACAGGGCACGCAAGAGAAAAATAGGTGTTACGCAAAGAAGCAAAGTATTTTTAACTATTAAAATAAAAAATTAAAACCCTAGCATTCGGATTGAGTTTCTTCTCTAACTCTCGTAAATGTATGCGATCTGAGCTTTGTTCAAGAGTGGCGGTGGTAGTAGTACTTTGCAGTGGTGGTAGTAAAGGCTTTCAAATTTTGTTAGAATAGAACATAACTCTTAAGTTTCGAGAAAGGAAAAAATGAAATTAGCTTGCGTAGCTTTAACAACATTTCAACAATTCAAATTCAAATTATTAGTCTAACAGGTGAAAGCAAGAGTGGAGTTAAGCGAGTAATTAACACGTAATCACTAAAGTAAGTGTACGCGATACTAAAGGTATTATGAAAAATAGAAGTATGAATATACAAATCTTTACCAGCCCATGTGTGCATATTTGTGTCCTGTAAGATTGCCTTTGCTTGAAGTAAACGTGTGGTACAATTTATTTTAACGGTACATTGAATGAAGTTTGCAAGCTGATATTGATAATCTGATTGAATTGCGAGTTTAAATTAGTTATAGCATATAATTAGCATCACTTATTAAGTTATTCTTTTGCTTCTTTCTTCTTTTTCTCTCAATCTGGATACCTGAAAAACTGCAATTTCTTTACAAAATAATCTCATTAATGATGCAATTTTCCTTCCATTCCTGTTTGAAGCATAAATAATCTATTTTGAAGTCTACCGTTTTTCATCCGACAAGTAGCATGTCTTCAACATCAGGCGTAATGTGTTGTATCGTATTCACCCCCGTAACAACAGTACTTTGATTATGTCGAACTAAGATTCAATGAAGCTGCAACCAGCGATACATTAATGTTTCATTGTGTTAATAATGATGTTGAAGTTCTTGTTTATCTACTATTAACAAGTTTTGTTACTTGTTAGCTATGGTAACACATATTTGTTACTATGTAATTAATCAGAGATAAATATGCGTTATTCAATATGTAGCTTAATAGCCACCTTCTATTATTTTCTGATTAATTAAAAGGATAATTTTATAAAATAATTACTTTTTCCCTCCAAGTCGTGATCAGACATAGAACGTAAACAACGCTGTACAGTCAGTTTAGCAAAAAGCCCAAAACGGCTTAAACTAGTTTTTATTTAAAAAAAGTACCGGTTATTTATAATGTACGACATTACTAGCACGCAATAATTAGTTGACAGGGTTTACTATATTTATTAGATGATATTAACATTCCTGTTCCCAAATGAAATGAATTTAAAGTGTTTTGCGAAAGAAATGATATGCCGTAAGGTCTTCTCTTCAGAAAGACATAAAGTTGAAGTACAGCTGGACATCTATTCACAAATGACAAATTAGAACAATAGATCTTGTCCTCACAATCAGATCTTCAAATTATGAAGTATCAGTCGCGAAAACGTCTTTAGTAATTCTGGTAAAGATACTTTCTTATCACATTTTAATGAGCTATACCACTTTTAAACGATAAATATCGAGTAAAAATTATGGCAAAATTTTAGTCAAGTTAGCGCTTTGGGAAACTGAATAATCTGTAGCTTGTCGAAGTATATATCTGAACATGTTGGATTTCTGGAATTATTTAAAGGAGGACATTGTATTCCATCCATAAATAGCACTACCTCTGTACATGATTGCTATAGATTATTGCTTAATTTAATTATGTGTTACCTATGAACTAAAGAGAATTCTAATCAAACGCGCTGTTCTCAACGAATGATTGTGAAAATACAAACAAAATCATGCAAGGACTTTCCCTGCAGAAAGACACAAGTTTTAAATATCTCATGCAGCGAACAAAGTTTTCAACTTAAAGCAGAAATAGTAATTACTTGGATAAATGAAGTTATCCTGTTTATGTGTTGATTTAATTTTGTTAATTACAGTTAATTTTTAATAAATAATATTTTGTTTATGTGTACTATCTATTCTCCATCAGAAACAGAAGGGGAACTTACCTCCGGCAGCGGCAGCAGCAGCGGCAGAAGCTGCTCCGGAACCTTGTCTTTGTCCTCCTGAGCCAAAGCCTGCTGCAGCAGCAGAAGCAGATGCGGCAGCACTAGAACTCGAGACTTCGTTTGCGCTTGCTTGAGTAAACATGCTTATCAACTCATTCATTTCATTTAAGAATACTTGATCTACCGCGCCTGTGGTCTGCAAAAATGCACTTGCCAATGCATCGGTTATTGCTCCAGTTTTGACCGATAGGGCTTGACCTCCCTCTCCAGACGCAGCTATTTCCGCTACTGAGGAGGCGAAAGCCATGTTCAGCGCTTGTAGCTTCGATTTGGAGTTTTTATTCGAATGAGAACTCCTTTCTATGGCGTCCATAATGGTATCGCTGATGGATGATATGTCGTCCATTTGGTCATATGAAAATGCCCCAGATACTTGGAGTTGTTGAGTAAAAGCTTGAAGGAGATCTTCTGCCTGTTGAGGATTTCCCCATACGTCAGCTGAAGCTCCTACAGCAGAGTAAATCTGCGTGCAGACGAAGAAAAGTACGAAGGTGATTCGAGTTATCCACCCCATGGCTAGTGATTGCTTTGGGTTGTTCTCGAATGTATGGTCTTCTGTCCAGCGACAGCATCTTTTATACACCGAAAAAACATGATTTGTTGTAGATTGTCGTGACTTAGGTCCAGCTAATTCAACAATTTCGTCACCTTCAAAGTTCTTGTTGGCGTCATGGGCGGGGCTTGCATACCAAAACGCACCTGCTTTTCGTGCGTCGGTAAGCTCACCTAATGCTATGCATAGGATTGAAATTTAGGTTAGCCATTTTCAAACTGTTATCGCTAAATTTTTAATTCTTTTCCCATTTAATTCTAATAGATATACTACAACAATTAAATTTCTACTTGTAATTAACTGCACTTTTATCCAAGTTACTTCTATGTAAACTGCAGTCTTATGTAACTGTACTTCTATACCTGAATATATATTTAACACAAAGTAACAGACGTTTTAAATTCCGTGCTTCGTTTTGTAACATGTATTAATTTTAGTATGCTGTAAGTTTTAGCTAATAATTATCAAGAAATTTTGGCTTTGTATCAGATTTCGATTTTAAAAAAAACACAGCGATATAAATCTAGTACTTTAGTATAAAATCCTTGGTGTTAGGTAGAATGTTTAAAAACTTAAGGAAATTAAAGATTATATGCTACTGCTAAAATATGCTTCATTTATTCATTTATTGTTATATTTTATTTATTTTCTTAAGTTCCTCGACTGACTTTCAATAAATTTTAGAAAACGGTCTTCCAACCTGAAAAAGTATAAAGCAAGGAGGAAAGATATATGATTATGAAAAAATTGCTAAGAAGCGAGACAAATTCTCTATTTAGTACTTAATACAAAAGTCCGTTAATTCGTCACGTTCAGGACTCTAATGATGCCGGATCATTAGCCTAATGATGCCTAATGATGCCGGATAAATTTTAGAAAACGGTCTTCCAACCTGAAAAAGTATAAAGCAAGGAGGAAAGATATATGATTATGAAAAAATTGCTAAGAAGCGAGACAAATTCTCTATTTAGTACTTAATACAAAAGTCCGTTAATTCGTCACGTTCAGGACTCTAATGATGCCGGATTATTAGACTAAAATCATATAATCTAGCAAAGCGATTTTATTCTCTTTGCAGAATGTAATATTAAGGAATAAAAAGAAGGCGCATAGGGTAATTCTGCAAATATAACTTATTAGTGAGAAACCCGTTGATATTTTGAATATATTTAATCACTTCTGTGAGCCGAAAGCATCATTATAGCAAACTCAGATTTTATAGATAAAGTTCGAATACTCATTATTTCTCCAATATTGCATTATTAGTCCAAAAGGACGTTAGCCCTATTTTTCCCAAAACGACATTTTGCGTCGAATCACTATAAACGGCTGTATCACTTTTCAAATTGTCGCCACCAAATATTATCGTCCTGTATTATATTTAAAGAAATTAAATAATGAAGAAGCGGCGTGAATGTATGCATGTTTCTCTCACTGTGATAAACATAAAGATATCTAGAACTATCAAATTCTGAATAACGTAGTCCTCCACCAGAATATCTGCACCTGTCAGCTCGAATCTTGAATTTCGAATTTGTTTAATTAACTATCTCATATTTTTTAAACATTAACAAATTTTTGATTGATAAACTCAACGATTTCAAAACGAGCAGTGGCAACACGCTACATGGAATAAAATATTTTTATCTCCACCGCGCGATTCATGATAAAAATTTTTGTTTTTAAAAATATATCCCACTTTTTCTGTGCATTTTGTGAAAGCTGCATCGCCTTGCTGTTTATAATTTTCGAGTTAGGAAATTTTTACTTTCTCTACTACTTTTGGACCACCCTGTATATATATAAATGTATATAGTATAACCTGCAATATCATATTTTTAGTCAGAAGGACGGCTTATGCCGCCTAGGTGGACTGGGGGCTGCGCTCGTTAATACTTATACTAATACTAATCTGTAATATATTGAGATTGAGCGATAGCTAATTTATTATGGATCATATTTGAATGATGCATAACGAAGGACAGACGTGGCCGTCGATACATCACACAGTTTTATTTCTTGTTAAAGCAAGCCATTAGGTTCAAACATTACCAAGGGGGAAATGTTCCCCAGATCTTCATAACTTTCCTTGGAATTGACATCTTAGACAATGGACAAAGCAGAGGCTTGAGCGACGAATAGAAGAAAGCAAGAATGAAAGAGAAGCGAAAGAGTAAGTACGCATTCAGCAGCAACGAGAGATACAGAGTCTTTTCTTTGTCGAGATTTTAATCTGTGATTGGATAAAATACATCCACAATGCTACGCGTTACAGTACAGCGTCTCGTGTTTTTCGCAAGTATAAACTAACGAGACACTAGAAGACTGTGTGCGAAACTTTCCTCATGTACGACAAAGTCGAGAGAAGAGTGTAAAGAATCATTTATTAACTCAATACAAACACAGATGGCACCGACTCGTACTTACAGAAGCCAACACTTTCCCCTTAACTCAAAATGTAGCGATCAACTTAGAATTAAACGTAGTAAGTATCAGTATCAGTATCAGTATCAGTAGTGGGCGCAGACCGACCCGCCTAACCAAACAAGAAACGTAGTAAGTTTAGTCTAAAGGCTCACTGGATAATTGAACGCTCAGGATGTGGCTATGACTCGTGAAAATCGGCGTATACAAGCTTAATGGCTAGAAACGCTCAGCGTCACAGAAATATAATCGCTTGTAAATCAAGATAGCAACGCAGCCTTGAAGCAGGCATAACACACTCTAAGGTCACCTTCCAAAACTTTCCCTTAAATGCTGCTTCTTTCTTCCTCATTTGAATACACGGGCGCTAGCTTATTACTGTTCTGAGAAGAAGGAAAGTTGTTTTAAAATAAAAATTAATTTTTAGCTAAATTAAATGAATCCTTACGACATAAGAGGCCATAACGCGGATTAATTCTGAGACGACGCACTTTAGATTCAGATATTATAAGTAGTTAGCAATTTTAGAATAGGAAGAGAAATAGCAAAATTAAAATTAGAAATAAAAGCGATTATTGCCAAATTAAAGTTAGAAGTGTATTTTCATATTTTACGTCTTACATGTATACATATATACGCTCTTTTGCAAAAAAATCGAAGCACCAAGAAGGACTGTTGCGATCGTGACGAAATTTGGCATGCAAAAACATCTTGATCGAACATGCAAATAATCAAAGTTTTAAGGCAAATGAACAAGAATTGCGATCATAGCGCGCAATTCGCAAAGTATAAGACCAGTAACAGAGGCGGAAAATTTATCTTTGTTTGTTGCTGCCATTGTAATTCCGTAAAGAAGCAACTAAAAATGCCATTATGACGATATCGAAGACTTTACAGACAACAAAACGACTTGTATAGAATTATAGGGTTGCGTGAAGCTGGGTGGTCATACCGAGCAATAGGCCGGCACATGCAGCGAACAGACACTGCTGTTGGCAGCAATGGTTGCTACAAGGAAATTGCTGACGAAATGAAGGCTCTGGAAGACCAAGGATCACAAATGCGAGGCAAGATAGGATGATTGTTCGCCAGGCCCAAACCGCCCCAATGGTATTTGGCTGCATAATCGACTATTCAACGCACTACAGCCACGTCTCCCGTGGTACCGTCCACCATCTCATGGCGCTTGTCTGAGGCGGGGTTACGCTCACAGTGTTCTTTAAGACGTTTGCCTTTGACCCCACAACATCGGTAGAGTAGTCTGGAGTGCTGTCGCAGCCCATCATCATGGCTGCCATCAGACTGGCATTGTATAGCGTTCAGCGATGAACCTCGCTTCACTCTTGAAGCAGATGACCACCATGTTCGTGTCTGAAAAAGACGGGGCAAGCTGTCCCAATCAGCTTTTGTTTTACAAAGGCATACAGCCATAATCCCTGGTGTGATGGCGTGGGGCGCTATTTCTTATGACAGCAGGTCATCTTTAGTCATCCTCCGTACATCTTTAACAGCTCAAAGATATGTTGATACCGTCCTGCAGCCGGTTGCATTACCCTTCATGGAACATCATCCTGTAGCCATTTTCCAACAAGATAATGCCGCTCGCATATCTCTGGACTGTCTCCCTGCGGTTGATACACTTCCTTGGCCAGCAAGGTCACCAGATCTTTCACCAATCGAGCATTGGATTGGATTACTTAATTATGGCAAAGCACACAAGGGCTATCTGCCTACAGGGAGGGATGCCTTCGTGGAGGACTTTCTAAGGGAAACTGGCTCGTATACACGTTACACATGGGGAAAACCACGAAAACGCCCATGCAGCCAGCCCGTTCGCGGGATTCAAACCTCGGACCGAACTACCAGTGTTCAGCGTCTTTACCGCTCGGCCGCTGGTGGGCCCGAGCATGTCTGGGACATGGTAGGCCGACAGATTCGGGCACCACAAAATATCGCAAATCTGGAGCGACAACTGGTGAATGCCTGGCAGAATGTGTCGCAGTATGACATTAGAAACCTCTGCCACTCGCCGAATTCAAGCATTCATTGCCGCCAGGGGTGGTTCGACCAACTACTTATTTAAACACTCAGTGGGTAATTGTGAGCCGTGAACAGGTATTTAGACCTTGATTATTTAATTAATCAAGGTCTAAGTACCTGTTCACTGCTCCCAATGAATATGTGTATTAGTTGTACACATATTCAATTTCATCAAAAACAACCACTTCCTTCACGGTGCTTCGATTTTTTTTTGCAAAAATGTATATATATATATATGTGTGTGTGTGTGCGTGTAATAATAAATTGGTCCGAGGAGAGAATTTAGTAGAACCTTTTTCTAACAATCATAGCTGAAATTTGTTACATTGTAGGTAACTCGAATTGGCGAACGTACTGGTAACGTCTAACTGGATGCTACCTTGAAGAATCACTAAATCTTGATAATCCGAACATATGTTTTTTATTTGTTGATAACTCTATTCATACACATCTTATGGTATGATAGAGGAAAATGAAGAAAACCTGCATCCTACAGTTTTGATTATGACGCATTGTATTTTTAATAATGAATA